GGGGGGGGGGGGGTGGTGGTGGTGGAAAACTTCACCTTTCTCATCGAAAACACGAGAGGGAAGGAGGTGGTTCAACGAGTGAGACTAAGAACGGCTTTTCTTGTCTCGCGAATCGCCCAAGTTACCGGGTGTCAACACAATATGCAGCGAGGGCAGACAGAGTTCGATAAAGCAACGTTTGGCAAGATATGAGCTCTTCTCAACGGGGGAGATTCAACAGATCACGTGCAGATTTTCTCGGCTGAATATGTGCTTGGCCGCGGTTCCGGAAAGATCCACTCCGATTCTCATGAGAAATTCAGTGAAACCCGTCTGGACGTACCTAAAGGGTCTTTTGGCGCAATTAAAAATTAACTGAGACAACGGTTAAGATAACGGTTTCACTGATAACAATGATACGGGTTAGATTAAATTTTATGGACCGCTTGATCTGTAAAATATGTTACTGGGACTTATTTCAATTTTTTCCTACAGATTTCTCTGCAAAACATATTCTCTATATGTCTACCACCCTTGCCAAACTTGCATATATATATATGGATCTTTGTTAATTTTTGTAAAATATCCCTTTTTAACATACAATAGACATTAATTTAGAAAAGCGAAAGATTCGAACAATAACTGCGTAAGGAGATGTTTACGTTTATATACACGAGCTATAAGTAATTTATATCATTATGAGGAATGAAAGAATACTTTGAGCTTAAAGACGCGCTCGTATTATTTTAACGTCATCTCAGTTAATTGCGCCAGAAAGCTTCTTTATGAAGATATATTTATTTAAGAGTATTCGGAGCCCTTTTACCGGGTTTCATGAGAATCGGCAAACCTTTTCAGAACTGCATATTTATTAGTAATATCGAAATGTTACTTTGATCCTTTGCCTCTAACACACTTTTCCGATACTTTCGGATAATGCACCGAACGCTAAGCGCCGCCAAGAGAAGAGCCAGATAAAATACGTCTAACTAACTTATATCAAAGCGACACAAAGTCCAATTTGCACGTCACGCACACCGCGCACATCGCCACTCTGAAAGAGTTTATCGATGCAAAATGCTCGTAGACGACAATAGCCAATTAGAGGAACGCGCGACGCCGGGCTAGGTGCTTTGATTCCGTCGCCAGATAAACGCGTTGCGAGCACGCTCGCGCTGCATTTATCTGCCCCGTTTCGTCAAATGGGTACTTTCTACTTGGCGAGAGCGCGCGTCGACGCGAGTAACAAAGCACCCTTAATTCCACCCCGTAATTAATTATACATCGTTGTTGCTGCTGCGTTGCCGGCGCGAAGCAGCACGAAAAATCCGCCGCATCCCGCGAGCGTATCTCGTGCATCCGCGTGTTAATACCACCACGTGAAGTGGCTCGACTCAACCGCATCCGCCCTCGATAATTTCGGTTCACGTGATTCCCGATTGCTAACTACCGGACTGTCCGCGTGCCGTCGATCTCGACTCGCCAATTTGTTGAGCTGCCGATTTGGTCGCGCAAACAAAGTCATGGGGGGCGCACTCACCCGTGTGCGTCCTTTGATGGGCCTTCAGGTGCGAGCTCTTGGTGTACTCCTTCTTGCATCCAGGAAACTGGCATTTGTGTAGTCTGCGCTTCGTGTCGGGCGGACTGTGCTCGTTGCTCCTCACGTGGTGCCTGTTGGCTACGGTGGTCGCGGTCGCGGTCGCACTCGCGAGCACGTGTTGCGTGCCGGCGACCGCAGGGAAGCCGTTCGCCGTGACGGAGATCAGTCTGCAAAAAAACGCGGTTTTGCCTCCTCTTATTGGACGCGTCAGCTCCGTAGTAATTAGTCCGAGGCGTGACGGACGCGCCGTCCGTGAAACGGAGCTGCACACGCGACGCCTCGCTACCTGGACGAACAGGTAGCGTGATCCGGCGAGTAACCGGCGAGTACTCGTCTCGCGCCTTCGAGAAAAACGACGGTGAATCGCGAGGAGAGCGCATTTCCGGCACTACTCGACGGGCTAATGATGGATCGCGAGAATTGTTTCGGGCCGGAGCAGCGAGATCTCGCCGTTTGGAAGCTACTTCCCGACGGCGTTTTTCTAATTCTCCTCGCGCCCTCCGCGCGCCAAGTCCTTTTTCCGCGAGTCTCGCGGAAAATTGCTGGGAACGAGTCGGGATAAGTCGGGCCGGAAAGCGCGATCACCTCGTATCGAAGAACTCCGGGTACAGTTAATCGCGACAGATCATTTCCGAGACGGAAATTACGGTACATTCGTCTTTCTTAGTCGGCTAAGTATCGCCCCGTTCGATTCAAACGGGGTTTGTTTGTCATCGGAAATGAGAATGAACGGTAATGAGAGTATCTCGCGGAAAAGTCATGTTCGCGTGCGAGCCAAAACGTCCTCCGCGAGTGACGTTCGCAAGGAAGACCGGGTCTATAAGTCACACGTTTGTCGTTAAACTTATGTCTCACATATAATAAATGGAGGAGCATGTTCTTCTTTGTAATATAGGTTGCTTGTATCATGTAGGATATACAACTTATGACAGAAGCATAGCATGTGATATTTACAAACACTTTTTCAAAATTGGACGCAGTGAGTAAAGAACATGGAAATATATACGATGATGTATTATGTTATATGATGTATTATGTCACAACAGTAAGTTTGCGTTTTATAATCCAAAGTTATTATTGCAAAGTTTATGAGAATTCTCCCTCCTTAGTTCAATAATTGTTTATTGCACCTGATCATAGGATATCACTAACTTTAATGAAGCACTTAAAATCTGAAGATAAATATGAGAGACTGTTTCTTTTACATAAAATATATGTGACAACTAATTCTTGATACGGGGTGGATAGTCACGCTTGCACGACACTGCTTACAATTTAATAACTTTTTTATATGTAAATATGTATAAGGACAATATTTTTCCCTCTTACTCAAAGGTTGTATCTGCATGAAAGTGTGTACAATATTAAAAATATTGCATACATCTATTTTTAATCATTATTATGTAAAAAGTATGACAATTAGACCCGGTATTCCCTACTGTGTTGCATTTAGGGAGAATAAGTACGCTACTTTTACGACACCTTACCTTGCGACACCCTGCGCGTTGCTGGTGGTGACCCTGACGATAGCGCTCCTGCCGCCTACGCCGTGAAGGTTGAGGTTGTGCACGTCGAGCATCGAACTCCCACTCGACGAGTGACTGGAGTTGGAATGACCTTGACCCGACCCAGGACTCGGCGGTGGCGTCAGGATCTGACCTTCGCTTTCGCACCCGCTATCCTCCTCCTCCTCGATCTCCTGCAGCGGTAAAATTGCACGCATTATGCAACGAGATTACGATAACGGGATCAATGCCGCGAGGAATCTCGCGTCGGACCTCGACAGGTTGGCGGGCAAATAAACCGGTGAGAGTTGAGCGATCGCGCGACCTTGCGAACTTGTTACGCGAAGGAGGAATTATAGCGCAACATCCGCACTATCAAGCCGTAAATTGAATAATATCGATATCCGCATTAAAAAAATATCGTTTTATTGATAAAAATACGATTACTTAGTTTTTATTTTCTTTCCTTTGAAGATAATGGTTATCTTCAACGAAGAATATTTTTTCTGGATAATAATCTTAAAATATCACAAATTTTAGAAAAGTTTATTATCATGTAAATGTTTAATTCATGTAATGCATTGCTTTCCATACATAATGGATACTTAAAAAAATTTCAAATTGTAAATAATATATTTTAAAAGTGTAACATTTGTTTGTATATATACATGGAGAAATATTATTCTACTGCTAAGAAAAGCGATTACTTAGTTTATTTTCTTTGCTTTAAGTAATGACTGCTTTCAACAAAGAATATTTTCTTGATAATCTCGAAATGTCATCGTTAAATTTATAAAAGTTTATTATCATATATTCAAAAGAAGATTGCGGATTGAGGAGATCAATATTATTTCATGTGATATTTTTGCGCGCAGGGTCAATCGCGGAGTTCGAAATAAATTTTGGTAAAAACTCATCAAGATTTATCTTCTATTAAAAATTGCTACTTACATACACATAAATCATAAAATAGAAATAACATTTCCACTTCGCGATAAAAATTAATTGTTTTTTCGATCAAATTTCTAACAAGTTGCCGTTGATTCCGAGACAAACATTGTTAATTAACATCGTGCAATCTACCTCGTGTTCCTCATCCTCTTCGAGATCGCTGGGCTCCTTTTTTAGAATGAGCGCTGTGCACGAGAGAGAGGGTGAACTGTCCCAGGACAGTGCGGAACACGCCGAACTCGACGATGACATCGACAAGGAATCGAGGTGACGATCCAGAAGGTCCCTATCGCGGCCATTGTCATTATGATCGCCGGGACTGAATTTGATGTCGTCCAGACAGAGGGGATCTCTTTCGTCTGACGACGTCGTCACCTGATTAACAAACATGTTTTGATATTTAGCAAAGCTTGCAACGCTTGTAGTTTAAGCTGTCCGCGGAAGTCTGTGTTAACTCTCTTAGTAAATAACGAAGTTACCGAAGTTAATAAAATGTATACATTATATACTGGATGTCTGGATTTAGATATCCGAAAACTCGAATATCTAAATAGAAAAATTAAACTAAGTAGAAAAATCCTCCACCGAACTATCACGGTAATTATAGAAATATTAATGAAATAAAGTCGGTTAATCTATGCGCGCGATACGGTGAGACTGTCTGGTGTGAGTTCTATAGGAAAATCTAGTTGAAAGTGAACAATTGAGCAAAAAGTCTTTTATCGTTTTGAAAATAATCACGATAATTATTTCTTTACTTGGATCAACCCACTAACAATATTAATCTTGTCACTCTTATAATAGACGAAGAATAGAACAACTCGATCGCGAATGAAACAGATTGCGTGTTGCTCATGTAAGAGTGTTTGCCGTGCTTTAATCGATCACGATTCTCGATTTTTCTTTCGATTCGAAATGGGAAATAAAAAGACAACATTGGCGCGCGCCAAAGAGACTACTTTTGATTTCATGTCGCTACGTCGACTTATTCGCGACTTGTAGCCATTTAAAACTGCGACATCGACATCAAGTGTCACCTGCTGTCACGCTCGCATACTATGTTTTCATACCGTCTTTCTGACGCAGGCTTAGAACATATACATGGAAGGGGAATATGGGCATTGAAATCTGTCCAAGTTGCGAGAGAGAAAGTTATACAAACAAAGAAAAGTAATCTGAATAAAATGTTTCTTACCATTTTTCAAATAAGCACCTAAAATTTCGGGATACTAATGAAAGAAAGTTGACCATGAAGTCATTGTGCGATGTATGGTGCGAGCTCTGTAAACACGGGATCTCATCGAAAATGGCTGATTATTTCTTAACGACACGATATATCGAGAAATAATTGTCTACATGCCGCTCGTATCATTTAAGTTGATATCCAACCATACCAAAAGACAGTCGAATTTCAGCCATTTTCAATAAACTCTCGATGAGTTCTTACAGAGTTTCTTACAGAGTTTGTTCCATAATACGCTCTTTGTAAATCTTTTTTCATTAATATTTTGAAATGACTGTTTGAAAAATGATAAGGGACCTTTTGCTCAAGTGTTCTACCTGAACACTGTGGCTCCGTAGCGAATCGTTGGATACGCTTCTGAATACGATCCATTAGACGCTGCAAATGCTTTGAAGCGCTTAAAGAAACACCATGACTAGTCCATACGATGCTTCAAAGCATTTGCAGCGTCTAATGGATCGCACTTCTCGTATATATTCTAAAAACGCAGGTGAATGGTCGATGTGATGGGGAGGATCGGTGGTTGTAGCTACGACCAATGACGTATATATATATATATATATATATATATATATATATATATATATATATATATATATATATATATATATA